CCTTTCATGCAACAAACATCCACTTCCTAATTTGGAGAATTTATCTACCAGGCAAGTTAATGTGAGACCAATTTACCATCAGCACAGAAACCATCAGACTTACACGACTTAAAGTCTATCGACAGATTATTTTTGATGTGAATATGCAGTGAAGGAATGAGATGTTTGCTACGGGAGATTTTCTGCTTTCTGTTCGTAGCCCAACTTCAAACCAGCGATTGCAGTCAGTCAGAACAGTCATTATAAGATATGATTGCAAGAACTTAGAACTTACAAAGGCTGAAGCTTCTGGAAAACAAGCTCTTCCACTGTGGATTAGGCTCAGTCACAGCACGTCCTGCTAAGCGTATCTGTAACATTACACTGAGTACTGTGCTCCTAAAAGCCATTTCAGCTCCATAACAGGCGCAGAGGAAGCATCAGCTCAGCTGGCATGTGGGGAATTCACTGAGCTACCTGAGCAAACCTACAGATCACTCAGCCGTCGGACACGTGATGCAAACGTTTTGCTTCTTTTCTTAAACTCTGTTTCTTACACCTGCAAATTACAAACAAGCCTTCAGGTTTTCTTTTTCTCGGTGAGACAGGGAGGAGGTCGGGGTGGGTGGATGGGTCAGCTGATTACTTCAAGCTTTCAGGTAATCAGCTGATCCATCCATCAGCAGGTAAATGTTAGTGAGGGCTTATTGGTGTTTGAAGGCAGCTGTGAACACAGCTCTGCTCTTCTGTTATATGAGATTATAACGCTTACAATAAAAAAGAGAAACGTAATTAATCAGAATAAAATCAATCCACCAGCTGGGCCACGTGGATGTTGCAGACTGCAGGTGATTTGGTTTCATCTGACATAAGAATTCTTGCTCCTCTGATTTTGGAGACGGTTGCTTGGCTACAGTTATCATTTGCAGGTCTTCCCATAAATTTCATCCCAGTGTGATTCAGCTGAGGGCAGCGTGCCGAGGCGAGCGCTCAGCCTCTGTGTGAACAGACTCTTTGTTATCCTCCTGCTCGCTGCCCTGTCTCCACTTCAGCTGCTGACTCCACCTCCATTTACGACGGAGACGCTTCCACCGTGTCCTCTCAGCAGATCATCTTACTTCATCTCATACAAACCAACATCTGTGAGACAGAAACATTTAGATTCAGAGTGCGAGGCCGATCGCTGAGACGGCCCTTTCACATCCTGTTTCAGGCTCTGGTGGTGCTATAAAGAGCAAACTCCTCCCCAGCACCAGCAGCTACAACCAATAAACACCAGGAAGTTCTCTCGGAGGCCGGGTGGGGACAGGGTGTGGTTGTGGTGGTGGTGGTGAGGGTGAGGGTGACGGTGCCAAGCTCAGTGTAATCACCACATTGTTTTGTCCCGGATTTGATGCCCAGCCAGCAGCTCTGTGGAGCAGAGGAGTACTGAGCCAGAGCCGAGCCTCAGAGGGAGGAGGAGAGGCAGGAACGGCGCCAGGCCGGGGGAAATACCAGCAGAGGTACGTCAGGCTGGAGAGAACGGCTCACAGCCTCCACGACTGCTGCTCAGTTTGATAAAACCCGAAGAAGACGAGAGTCCCACGTGTTTGATTTCATGC